CTGTCCTGAATTGTTAAGAGGCTCCGTAGGTCTCCTCTGCCATTTCCCCATTAGCAATCCACTACGGTTTAGAGGTACAAATTCGATCGCGTTTCATTCCATTCATCTTTGACCGCCCTCCGGGATGAAGACGCCAGTGAATCACAGAGATTCGGAGAGCACAGAAATTCCTGACCAAATAACCCACGTTGTTTACAAAATCTCGACTATGTACGGGTGTCTGGTTTTCGTTAGTCGTACTGTAGATGTTCCCGACTTTGTCAGCGGCCATATTTCCAACGATACCATCTGTTTGGTTTGTTATATCAGAATGCGAAACATGTTTTCGGTTTCACCGGTCGTTTGTTTATCACCGCCTTAAGGTTTCCGGTGAATCACGCCGTCGCGACACATCGTTGTTTACAAAGACTTAACTTCTGTAGATCGAACAGACATAAAATTTCGATTGATTCATCGATGCGAGAGAATACTTCGTTCTCCCTTACCCTTGTACGACATGCTCTGTATATGGCACCATTCTTCCATGCAGCTGCGCGCATTTCGGTGCGGATCTCCGTTTGAGTATCACCGGCAAAGAGCTGTTATTTCGTTGACGACAACAGCTGCGGTTAAATGATAGTACAACTTTCTGTTTTGTTCTTTGGCATTGTGATATTCGTTTTTTTGCCTCAAGACGACAAAAGGCTGGGTGTCCCCTTGATTCGAACGCGCGACTTTAGCCCCGAGCTCTTAGAACTCAGTGACACTGTGGGACAGCGGAGCGAGCTGGTAGCTTAAAAATGCCAGGCTCACATCCCTAATGCTACGTATACTTTCCCTAACTCAAACTTCTAATTCTTTTGAACACGAATATGAAAAATGTGTGTTGGAAATAAAAGAGAAAAGACTGGAAAACGACTGAACCGATAAGAGCACAAACAAGAGTCTGCGATGTCATTGCCTAAGTTAAAGTGGCAACAAACGGGACCCGTTGCAAAAAAATCGACCGCCGTTGGATCAGAGGGACGTTGGACTGATTTCCAAGAGAGAATAAACGTTCCGTTGGAAGACCTTCAGACATATGACAGGATGAGCTGAAGAAGTTCGCTGGATC